GATGTGTGGGTGTGTGGACGTGTGTGAGTGTGTGGATGTGTGAGTATGTGGATGTGTAGATGTGTGTGGGTGTGCACGTGTGGACGTGTGTATATGTGGACGTGTGTGGATGTGTAGACGCGTGTGGATGTGTAGATGTGTGGATGCGGACACAAAAGGCACAAATGACCCACATCCTACAGCCAACAGAACCCATCACCTCCAGCACACGGAAGAAGTCTCTCTCTAGGCCTCTCTAAGCTAAGTGGCTACAAACTCTATGGTGCAATGTCTCCACAACGACAGCTTCTGGCGGGTCAGTGGAAGGCCAGGGGCTAACATCCGCCTCCGCCCACTGATCACAAGTGTCGGCCCAACAGCGCATCTGCCACTCAGTGGCACTCTGGGGACACTCACCTAGCCTCAGACACAGGGCAAAGCTGCAAGAAACCTTGAGGTCCCTCAGGGGAGGGCAAGAGAGATTAGGAACAGGTACGATTAGCGTTCGCCATGCGGTGACGCTGAAGGCTGTACTTACTGTAGGACTGACTGCTTACTTCCGAGGCAAATGGAGAATGGACAGACTTGAGCTGGCCTCTGGCCGTGAAGCCCCCCTCCATCTTCCTGGCTTTGGAAGCTCTTTTGTGTTTACCTTCTCTGGAGGTTTTCAGAGACAAGCCGAGTCCTTTGGCCAGCGCTTTCCTGTCCTTGCCCAGCAGGCTGTCATACTGTGTCAAGAACCTGCCACAGCCCCCACCGGTTTTCGGTTTCCCCCCAGGGCTGTCGGAAAACTTGAAGGGTGACTTCAGCTTGTCTTGTTTTGTGAGGGAGAGGGCTCTGTCTAGCTTGCTTGCCAACTGCTCCTGGTCGCTCGCCATCTTTTTCTTCTTAATCTTTAGCTGGGGAAAAAGGAAGGTCGCAAATTAAGACATATGGCCAAATAGGTTAGTGGGTTTCAAGCTGCAATGCTTAGGAGACTGAGCTAACTACTTTTTTTTTTCTGGAGACAAGGTTTCTCTTTACAGCCCTGGCTGTCCTGGAACTCACTCTGTAGACCAGGCTGGCCTCAAACTCAGATATCCACCTGCCTCTGCCTCCCAAGTGCTGGGATTAAGTACCACCACTGCCCGGCTTTCCTCTAGACTTGTGGTAAACTGTTTAACTAGTCCTCAGTCCTTTTATCTAAAATATCTGTGTCTGAGCATCACGAGGCTATCATGAAGATAACCAGGGTAAGGTCCATGTAACATGTATTCAGGCCAGTGAGATGGCTCAGCAGGTTGAAGATACTGGTCGCCAAGCCTGATGATCCGAGTTCAATTCCCTGGGACCTAAGTAATGGAGAAAATAAACTCTGACTTCCAAGGGTACCTGACACACATGCACACACGTGCATACATACACACACTCATACACCCCCACGCATACACCACCCACATACCCACACATGCCCATACATACCTACACCCACCCACACTTCTACTCACCCCCCCACCCACACACATATATAAAAAGTGGGGAGTTAGATCTTAATCTAACTTGCAAAGGACCCAAACTCAGCTTCCAACACACAGCTCCCTGTAACTCCAGCTCTTGGGATATGACACCTCCTGTGGATACTGTGGCTTCCTGCACTAATGGCCACGCACACCCACACATGGATACACCTCATTTACAAATAACAAAACAAGTCTTTTTAAAACACAAGTACAACAAATAAAGCACTTATTAGAAATGCATTGTCTCAGGTCTGGAAAGATAACTCCATGGTTAAGAGCACTGGCTGCTTTTCCAGAGGACCCAGGTTTGATTCCCAGCACCCACACGGCAGCTCACAACCATCTATGACTCTAGCTCCAGGAGATCTGACACCTTCTTCTGGTCTCCGTGGGCAGTGAACACATGTGGTGCAGACATACATGCGAGTGAATACCCATACACGTAAAATTTTAAAGTTTTTAAAGATGCCTGGCCTAGTAATCACTTATTAAAAGCTGTTGCCATGGTAACAATCCTGGCTAGCATGCCTTCCCATCCTGGCTTTCCACAGCCCTGTCTGAGAGTGCCTATAGAACTCTGAAGAAGCGGGCTACAGATGGGCTGGAGAAGGTAGCTGGATGAACCAGCGAGAGCCAGGGCTGGAAACAGCCCAGAGCGGAGCAGATCTGCTTTCCATCTCAGCCTCCCACGGCAGCTGCCGGAGGCTGCTGCTCAGTCTGAACCAGCCTGTCCAACTAAACGGGTCGGAGCTGCCAAGAAAACGCCCGGGGTGTGCCTTGGATGCCTGGACCAGGGAGAATGATTAGAGATTTCACAGATTAAATTTCTCCTTGCACGTTTATCGCCAACGGTAGTCATTTGTTGAAATGAAATGTGCAGTTTCAAAGGCATTAACGCTCTGCCATTTCTGTGCGCTAGCTCTGTATCTTTAATCAGGCAGCAATTGCAGGAGGCAGGGGAGAGGCTGGGATGGCGTTGTTGAGATAATTAACAAAAGCATCTCTCACCATGACCTGAGAAGAAGTGATCCTGCCTGGTGTGCAAAACACGGCAATCTTTTCATGCCTTCATTTTACACTCTTATTTAGATTTTAATTTTTCCGAGAGAGGGCCTCATTAGGAAGCCCTAGCTGAATTCGTTATGTAGACCAGGTTGGACCTGAACACATCACCATAACCTGATATCTTTTTTTAACTTAAATGTATGGTGTGTGTGTGTGTGTGTGTGCGTGCACACACACACACACACTCATGCAGGAGGCACATATGCATTGACTGCAGGCAGAGAGGAGAGTGACAGCGGGTATATTCCTCCCTCCCTCTCTCTACCTTATACACTGAGGCAGGGTTTCTCATTCAAGCTAGAACAAGACCCAGAGCTGGCTGCTCTGTCTGGTCTCGACAGCCATCCTCCTAAGATTAGGAATTACAGATCAACCACCACGCCTACCAGCGGTTATAATAACTCTAGTTATTATACTTGAACATCAGATGGCTTACCCACTGAGCCCTCTCCACAGCCCCCAGACCCACTACCTCCCCCATCCAGCCCTTCTACACTTCCCCTCTGATGACAAAAAGCAATCAAAAGATCCCCTTTGCACAAGGCTTTGTGAGGCGGAACATTAGCATTCAGAAACAGGGTCCGTAAAAGCATGGTCTCAAGGCTCTGTAGAGATGAGAAATTACCCCTGGAGAAGTCAGACTGAATCACAATGACGTCAAGCCCATGTGCACAGCACAGTGCTCATTAAACAATTACACTGCTAAACAACGGAGTTACCGCTATTTGGCTACACACGTGCGATCTAACCTCTCGCTTGCTGAAGCAGAAGTCTCTGTGCACACAAACCAATGTAGCTTTAGCCCTACCTCCGCCTCCCGTTCCTTTGCTAGGTCCTTGCTCTCCCTTGGGTCTTCCTTTTCTCCCGGCAGTGAGGAAGCTACTCTAACCGTTTCTCTACAGAAGCAGGGATCAAGAGACCCCCATGGAGAAAGTTCAGTTCCTCAGGTACAACCTACAATCCTCCAAGTTGAGACCTTTGTCCCAGTAACTTTGCAAGACTGAGCTGTTTACTAACCTGACTGATAAAATCAGACGAAGATTCGTGGTCGTCCCAGCTCTGGTTCCTGCCCCGGGCTTTCCCCATGCCGATGAGGGCCTCTTGCTCCTCCTCAGACCCCTTGTGTCTCTTCCTTATCCCCGCTCCCAGATCATAGTCCTCTGATGTCAGCAAAGACTTGCTGCTTAGCCTGAAAGCCAAACACACCAAGGGGGTCAGCACCTTAGCCAGGCCACAGGCAAAGGAGAGGGGCAGTGTACATCTGTGGCTCTGAAGGGTTGGGCTCTCCATGTAGAAAGGAGAAACAGCAGTGGCCACCAGAATAACCAGTGTGGAGAGACAGATTAATACCAGTGAATAGTGAACACGGAGAGAAGAGGGAAAGAAAAAAACCTTCCAGTCAGCATCCTCCATCAACCTCTCCCTGATGTGGTGACAGACAGACAGACAGACAGACACACACACACACGCACACGCACTCGCACAGATACACAGGAGAACCAGTAAGACATATCTTTACCAAAATTGCACCAAGAGTGAAGGTCACTAAGGAAACTGACCAGGTGGGAGAGGAGATTACGTGGAGAGCTGCCAGGCAGGGGGAGCCCTGCACTGGGCTCCCTTTTCTGGAGAGCAGGGGCACAGATACAAATGTCTCTCAATTTGTGAATCTACCTCAATTCCCAAATCCAGGTCTGGGCCAGCACACCTTGTGCATGAGGGTAGAACCCAGGGCTTTGTGCACACTAGGCAGTTACTATACTCAACATGCTCTATTCCCAGGGCGCTCTCGACTATCTGGTTTTTTTTTGGGGGGTGGCCTTTTTTTAAAAAAAAAAATACATGAGGAAGCTGAGACTGGAGGCTCAGAAAAGCTAACATTTGTCCAAGGTCACAAGGGGTGGAGCTGGGACTCCAGCAGCAAATTTAGTATATTGGTGACACACTTTGGGTCACTGGGCCTGCATTGCTGGTGGCCCTGGCTACTTTATCTATTATCTATTTCCCATCATCTCTCGTTCACCGTCTCCTGCCACTGGTGACAGTCATATGCTCCCTCTTGTTCTTCTTCCAGTCGGGAACATCCAAGGTTAACTATAAGATGCGGCAAGAGGGGGCCCATTTTCTCATGACAAGACCAAGACCATTCTACTGCCTTGCCTATGGTCACTCCAAAACAACTTTTCGTTTCCAAGCACTGGAAACAAGCATCTACTATCCACCCACCCCTATGTACCAAGCCCTTTCCTTTTTTTTTTTTTTTTTTTTTTTTTTTTTTGGTTTTTCGAGACAGGGTTTCTCTGTGTAGCCCTGGCTGTCCTGGAACTCACTCTGTAGACCAGGCTGGCCTCGAACTCAGAAATCCGCCTGCCTCTGCCTCCCAAGTGCTGGGATTAAAGGCGTGCGCCACCAACGCCCGGCTTACCAAGCCCTTTCCTTAAGCACCTCATCTGGCCCACCTACAGGTATGCAGGGAGGCTGAGCCCACCTGGGCAGATGCCTGGCCCTAGAGAGAAAGAGCCCTCCCTCACCCCAGCCAGCAATCAAGACAACCTCAGGAGGACCTCTCTGAAATGGCTGCAGTACCACCCAAGAGGACCTTGTCCCCAGAGAGCAGCCCTGGTCTCCTGTGAGATCCCAGGAGGACAGCAAAGTATCCAGCCTGTCCTAGAAGGCTGGAGTTGAATTGGTACTTCCGACAGGGAGGAGCCATGGAAAGAAGCAGAAGTTTGTCTCCAATGGTGAGGAAGTGGGTGGGGCAGAAGGTGGGGCCAAGTGTTCAGAGTTAAGCCACTGAGAGTCTCCATTCTCTTTGCTCACCCTCCTGAACTGGGCAGCACTCCGGGCTCCCAGGGAGCTGCCGTGTTCAGGGATCAGAACGCCAGGCACTACCAGGTCCCCTGGCGCCCAGCGGTGGGTGCCGACAAGGGGGGCCCTGCTCCTCCCCTCCGAGCTGGGTACCAGTCAGTCCCCGACCCACCGCGGGGCCAGCCTTACTTTCCGCTACCGCTGTGGCTCTTCCCTCTCTTGCAGGGGGGCGACAGGGCGCTCGGGGTGTGGGTCCGTTTCCTCGGCCTGCCAGGGCCTCTGCGTGCCAGGCTTCTATGGGCATCCTCGTGCCTGTCCCTTAAAAAGAATTCACAGGCTCGGCTAGGAACCTGGGGTGGGCGGGAAGTGGAGTGGGGCACTTGGGTCCACGCACACACCTGACCACTACCAAAGTCGACCTACCGACCAGCTATCCAGGATGGGGCGCAAACTGAGGAGACACTCACCCCGAGTCGCGGCGTCTCTGGAGCTTGACCAGCTCCCGCTGTTTTTCTTTGTACCGCCGTTGGACCTCTGCCAGTCGCATCCGGAAGTCCAGCTCCAGCGCGTCCATGTCCTCCAAGGAAGACTTCATAGCAAACATCTGCAAGGGGTACCAGGAGGAGAGCGCGACAAATAAGGATGCTGTTGTCTGCTGATGTCCCGCCCCTTGCTCGAATCCCATCGCTGTCCCCTATTTTGGTTGGTTTGTTTTAGAGACAATGTCTCATGTAGCCCAGGCTGGCCTCAAACTCAATATGTAGCTAAGGATGACCTTCAACTTCTAAGCTTCCTGACTCTTCTTCCTGAGTACTGAGATCACAGGTGAACACCACCAAGTGCAGTTTCTCTCATGCTGGGCTGAAACTTAGTGTTTCTGGCATTACACTTGTAATTCAGGTTGGTGTGGAACTCATTAAGTAGCCTAGCCTGGCCTGGAACACTCGAATCAATCCTCCTGTCTTAGCCTTGCAATTGCCGTTGCCTAATGCCAACTTTGCCACATGGTGTCATGCTTAAGACGTCATGAGTAAACACTAAGCAGTAGTAACAGTTTAATAAGATAAATGACAAGTGTGTTATTTACACACACAGGCTCGCCCGCAGTCTGTACTTCAAGTTACCTGAGACCACACAGGCCACAAAGGGTCTCATTTCCAGTGTGCTTTCATGCCGATGTCCAAAGGACATGCCTGACACAGTAGAAGGATACAAAATCCAACAGCAGGGAGACGACCCACTGTGGGCCACGTAGCAAAAAGGTGAAGGCGGCTGGATGGTTGGATCCCCGCCCGCCTCCCAGGCTCACCCGATCCTCTTTCTTCTGCATCCAGCTATACTTCTTGTTGGAGCTCAGCTCCCGAGGAAGCTGCAGGTTCTTGAGTGGGTCCGAGAAGGGGCTCTCCAGCACCTCCTTCAGCATGTGGCTGCTGGCCACCAGCAGGCTTTCCAGGGAGGGTCTCACAACTAGGTTTGGCTCTGGATCTGGGTAAGGGAGAGAGACCAGTGAGTCAGTGCTGGGACCTGGACCACAGGCAAGATGGCTGCACCCACTCAGCCAGTCATCAGGAGGCCAGCCCTGGCTCTGGGCCACACAGCCACACCGCACTGTGATCTACTGCACTAAAGGCCAGGAGTACCTTGGAGAAACCAAACACTGGCAGAGGTTCCCTCCCAGGACACTGAGTCTCTACTTGATTTCTCCTTAGGGAATATGTTGTGTCCCATATCAGAAAACAGGTCCAGCACTCAAAAGACTTAGGCAGGAGGACTGGGCTCAAGCTATATAGAGATCCTCTCTCCAAACAAATCCCAGGGGGTGTGGGAGATGCGGGGAGGGGAGAGCATACACGGCTGGAGACAGCTCAGCAGGTAAAGGAGCACACTGCTCTTACAGAGGATCTGGGCTTAATTCCCTTCACTCAGTCAGGCATCTCAGAGCCGCCTGCAACTCCAGCTCCTGAGGGATCCAACCCCTCTGCACTGGCACTCACATATCCGTACACAACACACACATGCACACACACACGTACACTCTTAAAATTATTACATTTTAAATAATTAAAATTACTGTGTGTATGTCTGCATGCGTGCGCGTGCCCATTGAGAGGCAGAAGCAGGTGGATCTCTAGGGGTTCAAGACTAGCCTGGTCTATAAAGTGAGTTCCAGTGTAGTCAGGACTACACAGAGAAACCCTGTGAGGAAGAGGAGCAAGAGGAAGAGAGAAATAAAAAGCATGAGTTGACTAGAGAAGTAGCCCGGCGAGGGAAAGGCTTACTGTGCTCAGATCCCCAGAGCGTGGGTAAAGCCCAGCACAGGAACACGTCTACAGTTCCAGAGTTCCTAAGGTGAGTCAGGAGACAGAGGAAATCTCCCAGAAGCCCTGAGAACCAGCTACCTGGCATAGCCTGTGGCAAACAGGGTATAATGGGAAAACAGACCTCAGAGGCTGTTCACAGCCTTCCACACACGTGCCATGGCATGTACACATAACACTAACACACATGTGCATGCACATA